CAGCCAAGCAAAGAAGATTAGACAGAAAGAAGAGGAATACAAAAATATTATTCAAATAAAAGATGTAAGAATAATGAAAAAATTGTAATACAAATGTAGATATCTTGCAGGTTCTCTGTAATAGCAAAGTGAAATTTGTCTCTGTCTCAGCTGTTGGGATGCCCCCTTGTTGCGCCCAACTGTAGTCTTTTCACAGTTCAGGGATTTTGTTTCATTTGTGGGTATTAAAAAAAAAAGCAGACTAAGGAAGGTGGAAGAGATAAAATTGGGAAGAAAAGAAGGAATAAAATGAAAAAAAAGAAAGAGAAATAAAAGAAATTGAGAGATAAAAATAATAAAAATAAAAAAATAAAAATTTACTTTAAAAAAATAAAAAAACAAAAACACACACACACACACAAACAAACAAACAAAAAAACCCTCTTGCAGGTTTCAAACTGGCCAAACCAGTTTCTGTTTCTGCTGGCTGCAGCAGGTGGAAGGGCAGGTTTACAGATGTGGGCTCAAGGTCTCCTGAGGCGTGCAAGCTCTGTATGGGTCCATGAGTGTGGTCCCTGGGTGTTCCACAAAGCTCTCTCTTCCTGGTTTGTGGGCACTTGTGCCTGGCCAGGCCACCTCTGGTCACACAGCCTTGGGCACACACTCTTTCCAGGGTTATGCATGGGTGCTCACAGCCCCAATGTGTTTGCCACTCAGTCCTTACTCCTCTCTCTCTGACTTTCTATATATATTTTTTTTTCTTCTTCTTCTCCTCCTCCTCCTCCTCCTCCTCCTCCTCCTCCTCCTCCTCCTCCTCCTCCTCCTCCTCCTCCTCCTCCTCCTCCTTCTTCTTCTTCTTCTTCTTCTTCTTCTTCTTCTTCTTCTTCTTCTTCTTCTTCTTCTTCAGAGGAAAGAGCTTGTCTTTGGACTCAGGTTCTAGAGTCAAGGTTTGGTTCCTGCAGGTACCCTGCACAGCCTGAGATGGAGTGCACGGGTACCTGCCCTGCACCAGGCTTTGGGGTGGCTTCAGCCAGCCATTGCAGACTTCCCTAGTCCACTCTCTCCCTCACCTTGGTTCCATTTCCTCATTTGTAAATGGAGAGAATGCTACTGCATGAGTCTTTGTAAAAATTAAGATGACAGAGACTGCAATTTGTAATGCCTTAGGTGATTATTATTATTATTATTATTATTATTATTATGTCTAGGACCATATGTAAGATTTCTACATGTTAGAAAAATGAAGAAAGTCAGGAAACTATAACAGAAAGGGTAGACATTCTTTGAATACAGGGGAAAATCTCTGGTTTGCAAATATGTCTGTCTTTTCATGGATTTCTATTGACCTATAACCTGGATCTGAAAACTAGGCTAACCCAAATTTGCTTTCAGGAGAAAAAGAGTAGAAGGAGTGTGTCTGTATGACTAGTCTCTGGACTACTCATGGAAAACTTTCTTGCACCACAGACTGTCTCCCCAGAATCATTCAGCAAATATGTTCCCTATTCTGGAGCTTTGCACAGGTGGGAGGATGGACAGGATACTCAAGACACTTGTCCTGTTCTGGGAAAGAAACTGAACTCCTTATCAGGCAAATGTCCAGTTTGCCAACACAAATGGCTTTTCTTCTCATGTGGTTTATGTTTCCTTTTCTTTTTAAAAAAAATATTTATTTATTTATTTATTTTTAGATAGAAGGGAAGGATGGGAGAAAGAGAGAGAGAGAAACATAAATGTGTGGTTTCCTCCCCAGCGCCCCCTGCAGAGGACCTGGCCTGCGACCCAGCAGGCATGTGCCCTGTCTAGGAATCAAACCAGGGACCCTTTGGTTCACAGTCCAGGGTTCAATATGCTGAGCCACACCAGCCAGGGTTGGCTTATGTTTTCTTGACCCCTCTCAGTTCCTCATTAACCCATTTCACCATGTCCTCATAGCTATCTCACAGATGGGAGACACACAGAAGAATTTGGAGAGAAGGCAGGAGTTTTGAATCTGTCCACTTTAGCTCAAGACCCCCAGTTTCCTGGCTCTTGAATATCTGTTTGTTTGTTTTTTTCTTGGTGCCTAAGTATTTGCCCTTGTCCCCTAGTCCCAGAGATAAGGAGGATAGGCAGAGGCCCCAGATCACCTCTTTTTCCGGACTTAGAACGTGCAAACTCCAACAAGATTTGGCCAAAGGGTCTGGGATAACCCATGCTCTGAAGGCCCCTCCAGGGTTCTCTGCCAGCTTTTCTAGGAAGGAAGTGTTCCTGGGCCATAACTCTGTCTCTCTCTGGGGGCCAGGCTCATAGTGGAGTAGAAGGTAGAGTGAAGGTATGAGTTGGGTGGAGCTAATCCAAGGCAGTGGAGTCAGAGCAAGATGATGAGGCAAACCAGGGGCACAGGAGTAGGGAGGGCCCTGAGACCACATAATAGTATTATCTAATTTACAAGTGGCACAATAAGTCTATGATCACACAGAAAGCTGTTGGCAGAACCAGACAGGTCTGACCAGAAGTAAGTCTTCACTCTTACACCACACTTTTCTTCCTCTCAAAGTAAAAGAGATTCAACCCTGCTCTGACGTAGCATCAGCAGCCACTGGAACTCTGCCCAGTTGAGGGAGCCCTGTGCATACATCTGTGACCTGTGATAGTCTTTTCCATTGCTATGATCCTACTTGTTCCCCACAGTCAGCACGCAGGTGTGACAGATGTGATCTGCATGTTCAAAGGATGAGGTAAAAGCAGTTCGGAGCAGCCAAGTAGTGGGAGCAAGACTTGGACTCAGGTTCTGTTGACTCCAAAGCCAGTGCACTTTCACACGCTGCCTGCCCCAGACAGTAGGGGGGCTTTGAAAAGTCAAGAGCCATCTCTGGAACCTTGTTTAATATGAAAGTTATACTATATTGATGAAATAATGAAGTTTATCTATTGTTAAATAAATACTTTAATTACTAGGAATTTGAAAAATTTACATAGACTATACTAGTAATTCTGTGATCGCCTTCAGATTCATATGACTTTAAAAAAAAAAAGAGCTCACCTTCAGTTAGGTGTTCTGGCACAGCTGGCAATAGCGTCCTTTTTTTGATGGTAACAAACTGATGGATCTACCTTGGAGCTCATAGCAGATGAAATGAGAAATGGGATGGTAAAATGCCTTTATCTTTTACACAGAATTCTAGCTGGTGGCAATGTCACAAAAGACCACAAGTAAAATTCTAGAACCCTTTCTGAAAGAGAAAATGACAGAACCTTTCTCCCTAATAGGCACATTTTGCTCTGCTACCCCCTGTAAATTAGATAATACTAAAATAAACTAGCAAGAGGAGCAGTTGGTGTTTGCTATATCAACTCCACATCCTCAGGAAGGCTCAGCACACATCCTTTTCAAGGAGTTGACCCTATTGTCTCCATTCCTGGCTCTGCTCTTATTAATAACCTTCAAAGTGCCCTGCCACTTGGGATGGGGTAAGAGACAAGCTCATAAATGAATCAGGAGAACCAGATATTCACTTGAGCCCTTGCAGACTGAAATAAAAGTGTTTTGCCTCTGTTCTGTACCTGGATAAAATGGACCAAATAAGTGATTTCTCTATAGTGGGGAAGAAGTGAATCCCAGCCTGAGAGTTGCTTTCTGTTTCTAGAAAACCATTAGGAAAGAATTGAATGAGGAGGGCTTGGGAGCCTGGGACAGGTGATATGACAGCCGTGCTGTGAGGGGGCATGAGACGCTGCCTCTGCTGGGGAGCTTGGGGAGCCAGTCTTATCTAGGTAGAGGCCTGGGATCCTGGCCCAGTCCATGTGGGTGGACATAGAATGCATATGGAGGGGGGGGGCATGGGTGCCTGAACAGCACTGAGGCAGAGGACATGTCTGGAAAGAACATGATTTGGCTTGGTTTGGTGGAGCATCTGAGCAAAGACCTGGTCTTGGGAGTAGAGAGAGAGTCTCAAGGACACAGAGGGGAAAGAAGCAAAATGGAAAAGGAGCCAAGGAGCAAAACAGAGGCTAAGGAACTGGACTGTGCAACTCCCTGCTGAGCAGGAGGGACACTTCACATGGAGAAGTTTCCTCCCCACATCCTCCCAACATGGGATCTTGAAACACTTCTAACCCTTCACTGCCAGATTCATCAAAAATGGTATTTCTTTGGTTTAATTTGTATTTCTTAAATACATTTATAGAAACATATGTCAACACAGCCTTTTAAGAGGACAATTTGGTACTATATAGAAAACAAAAATATTGACTTTTTAGGCCAGTGGTAGTCCAGCCAGAAATTTATCTCATGGAGACAGAGTATTCAGAGATTCATGTTTGAAGGTGGTCATGGAAATATGATTTGCTAGGACAAAGCCCACAACAGAGGCAGGCTCGCCCCATTTGAACCTGCTTATATTGTGGTGTTTGCTGCTGGAGGAGTGAATATGCCCCAAGGTGCTGTTAGATGTGAAGCAGGTGGAGGCCTGCACAGATGAGACAACCCCATTCATCATCAGTTAAAAACTATATGAGCATATAGACAGGCATGTGGGAAAAACTCATCTGGAAACTTGTTAACTATGGCTATTTCGAAGTGGGAGAGGTAGTCCAGAAACCCATATTTTATATTTGTGTTTTATATTGTTTGCATTTTAAACCACGTGCATATATTATGTTCACTTAATATATGTGACCTATATTATATTCACAATGGTGAAGAAAGCTGATATGTGTTTGTGGGAAATTGATGTGCCACATGAGGCCCTGAGCTTGCTTCTGCATGACCCTGGGACTCTACATGGGCTACACTTAAGGCAGTGGCATATTCTGGCATAAGTGCCACATAAGTGTGACAGTGACTGCAAGAACCGCACCTTCAACATGGTGGGGTGGGGTCATGAAGAGCTTGGATGCTAATAATGTGGAAGAACTGCTATGTTCTCTAGAAGTCTATCTTCTGCAAGTCCTATCCCCACAAAATCCTGGATGTCGCATGTCTTCTAATGCTTATGCCTTAGGATATTTGGTCGCTGACATTTTTTTCTGTCCCACAGGAAATATCCTGGCTCTGACAGGACCATGCTGCAGAGGTGGCAGGTACAGTGACCCCCTTAGAGGACTCTGGGTTTGAGGAAGCCCACTGGGACTGTAAGTCAGAAAATAGTTCAGGCCCCAGTGATGGAAAGAGAAAGCATGTGAATGAATCAGAAAGGATCTTGTTTTTCTAATTTACCAAAATGTCCCAAATAGTCTCCTGAAAATATCTCAGTGATTGAAGACAATTCTTGAGCCTCAGAGTTGAAGCTATGGAGTGTGTGTGTGTGTGTGTGTGTGTGTGTGTGTGCATATATGCATGCTCTGTCCACGAAGGTGTACACATATGTATCAATGGACGTAGTTTGGGAGCACATGCTATTCACTTCTTGTCCTGGGGGGATGCACCTGACTCCCAACCTTGATGAGTTGGCTTGAGCCTAGGGTTCTCAGTTAAAAGAAGAGACCCCCAAGAAGACCCATCCTAGAGGTTACATGGCAACAAGAAAGTAATTCTTTGTCACTCAGGAGCAGGGTAAAGAAAGAGACCACAGCATACAGGTTCCATGTCAGAGATGATGTGGGATTCCAATGGACTGCTCATTCACCAGTTGCCCTTGATGAAATTTTCCCAAGTGTAGTCCCTTTCTCCATCTGTAACTGTACATTTTAGGGCCCTAAGAGTGTTATCTCAAAGACAATGGAAAAAAGTTCCTAAAGTCTAAGAGGACAGATCAATGAGCCCACTGGTGAGGGCCTCTTCCTCTCTGACTACAAAGTCCCCTCAACTTATTTTTTCAATCATAATGAGGTCAGCAGTAAGTTTACCCACACAACATTGATGCTATTAATTTAACCAACTTTGAGTATCCCACCCAACAGTTAAGACAAAGGAATGCTTTGTCCTTGGCTTCAAGCTGCTGAGCTATACTTCCTTTCAGACAGTCCCTGCTTCCAGACTATATTTGCTTCCATCCACGTTGGAATGAGCCTGGTCTCCCTGCAATGACATGGAAAATGCATAGGTGCATGGTGAACAATGGCAGTGGCTGCTGCCTGCTCTCACCTGCATAGTGAGGGTCTCCTGCAGAAGGCTGGGAGTTAGACCCCATGGTCCTCAGGAAGATGCCAACTGTGTTTTCTTTATCCTTTCTTTGTCTCTTCTGGTAGAAAAGGGACATCAGCAATTTTGAATATCTCATGCACCTCAACACTATGGCTGGAAGGACCTACAATGACTACATGCAATATCCAGTATTTCCCTGGGTCCTGGCTGACTACACCTCACAGGTATGGCATTCACATGGACATTATGCAGGCTTCTTGAGGCATCCTGACTCTGACTTCCAAAGTGTCCTAAATCAGCATACAGCCTCTGCTATAAGGTTCAGTCCACCTGGGCCCAAAGCTGCTCCATGTCAGCTCTTCACCCTGGAGGAGGCTTTCGAGTCTAGCTGCCTGGGTTCCTGTCCAGCCCCACCTGTGGGAAGGTGATCTTACCTGTGAGCTCATCAACATGGCTAGGACAATAGCTAACATGTGCCCCAGAGGGCTTCCTGGCTACTCACTGCACTGAGGGCAAATGATACTCATTGGCTGAGACAGTATTGTGGACCAACATGGTCCTTCACATGAAGTGAGCCATAGAATTTTTCTTAGAACCAATGGTATGTGTGTGTTGGGGTGAGGTGTTGTGGAAAGGAAAGACAAGAGTAAGAGAGAGACACAGGGACAGAGAAAGAATGAGCTACTCCACTGTAGCCCAACTTTAGCCTGAAGTGATGGTCTGTACACTTGGCCCGGTGTCTGGAGTAAGACATGTAGCAATAGAGGAGGATGATGACAAAACTAGATAATTCACTTTCTTGGCTTCTAGTCTTGGGCCTCAGCAGGGGAGGGATAAGGAGGAGAGCTGACACTGTTGAACCAAGGTGGTGTCACACAAGGAAGACCAGGCTATGCAGCAATTTCTCCATCACCTGGCTCTGGCTGTCAGGACGGGGGTGTGTGTGTAAGGGGAAGACGGTGTCTGGGTCCTAGTTTAGACCAGCCCCAGCCAGTCCTGCCTGGGGATGCTTAGATGGCTGATCCTCAGGATTTGGGAAAGGGGGTCTTAGTTTTTTGTAACCTCCCATCCCCACTTAAGGCAATTAACACAGAACAACTTTTCTTACCAACCATATGAGGTATTTCAAAAATAAAACTTGCAAATTGGAATTTTAACTCACATTTTACAAAGTGCTGGCTTACCAGCCTTTTTGGTTTAGCCCCAAATTCTGATCACTTATCAGCATTTAAAAACAGAGATTTCTCCCCCAAATATGGATTTCAATGATCTTTTGAAGAATCAGGAGATCTTATAGCTATGACCCCTGTTCTGCCCTGGCAAAATCAGCCATGGTTGAGTGTGGGTCTCCACATATGGTGGCACCTGGGGGTCATAGAGAGCCTGCTTCTCCCTGGCCCACTTCTGGCTTCTGCAGGTGTGAGATGGTGACAGGCACTGAACCCTGGGGAACTGCTAGTGACAAGGGAGCAGGGTATAAACCCCTCCTTCTACACACACATGCAAAACTGGGGAACATGTGGTCCCTCTGCTAACACACAGAACATCTCAATAGACTAAAATACTGTGGACACCTGGCCCCAAAAACTCTTCAGGGCCCCACTGTTGTGTGTTCCTGAGGGCAGAGGAAGGAGCGACCTTCCATGCCTCCACTTTGCAGAAGGGAGTGGTTCTACCAAGAAATGAGGCTGCCCCTCTCCTTTCCTCCCCAAACAGAGGATTTCTCACTTCTTAGAAAACCAGTTTGGTTTTAAACTGGGACCTTGAACTATTGAAGCAAACTTCTCCAGGAAGGCTGTGTCAAGTACTTCATAGACAACAGGAATTCTTTTGAACACAACTTTTCAGTAACTGGTGGTGATGTTCTGATTTGGGTCAACTTGAAACAGATTCAGTGTGAACTCTATCTTCCCTCCTCTCATTTTTCATCTCCCTCCTATTAAGTCTTTGTGGATCACTGGTTCCAGGGCCATAAAACCTCAACACACCTGCTAATCACCAGAAGGGTCAGACCAAATGATACTAAACCAATAAAGAAAACCATAAAACTAAAGAGCATGGCTCCTGAAGTCTCACTGGGGCATATGAGGGCCTAGGGGAGTTAACTCGAGCTGCACATCTGCCTTTTAGACATTGAACCTGACAAATCCCAAGACTTTTCGGGACCTTTCAAAGCCCATGGGAGCCCAGAACAAGGAAAGAAAGCTGAAATTTATTCAGAGGTTTAAAGAAGTCGAGAAGACTGAAGGTGGGTAGACTCCAGCTTGATTTTTTTCTGCAATGCTTTTCATCTGAATGCATTGAAATGATAATTGATAACTATTTAGACCATTACTTAGCCTACAAATAATCACACTTCAACAGAGATCTCTTTAATCCCATGGTCCACACCCTTGCTGCATGTAAGAATCACTTGGAGAGCTTTTAAAATAAACTAATGATGTGGCCCCATCTCTAGAAATTCTGATTGGAATAAGTCTGTGCTGAAGTGCAGCCAGGACTGAGAACTATTATGCTAACAGTTCATACCTCCATACCTAGGTGCAGGAAAGGCAGAGGAAATGAACATTTGTGCAATGCTTTCTATATTCTAAGCACAGGCTAACCTGCACTCATGCAAACAATGGATCATTTCAAAAAGGACACTAAAACTCGGGGAGTTCAAGCAACTTATTCGAGAGTATAACCTTTAAATCCCAAGACTCAAACTTTGGTCATTTGCACACCACCTTTACAAATTTTGCCTATTCATGTGTCACTGTGCTCTTAACTGCCTTCACAGTTTTTTTTAGGTCCATTCACTTAAAATTTAATACATGTATCTTAATAAGAAATTTTTCTATTATGTGTTTGGCATGAGGGATGTGGCAGCTCAGAGTCTTGAATGCACTTTTTACCAATGGTGACCATTGGCCAAATTATGACATATATGAGCAAAACACTAAGGCTCCGCTTACCTGCAGATTCTCTCTGAAGCAGGACTCATGTTTGCCACTCATCCTTGAGCACCACACAGTCTGTGTGTCTGCAGCCTGCCCCAGCACATGAAAAGCCACCCAAGCAATTCTTTTCATTGCAGGAGATATGACTGTCCAGTGCCACTACTGTACTCACTACTCCTCGGCCATCATCGTTGCTTCCTACCTGGTCCGGATGCCACCCTTTACCCAGGCCTTCTGCTCTCTACAGGTGAGCTCCCTCACTCCCCTCCCCCACCCCAACATACCCAGGCATATCTCACAGACTAACAGCTGGGCTTAGATGGGGCAAGGACCCACCCTGCTAGAAATCCAGTCTCCAGCCAGTGATTCTCACTTGACTGGCTTCAGTCTCCTGGCTGTCTGATAGGCACACTGCTTTTTACCAGTTGCACCTGTCTGTCTGCTCAACAGTCTCACAAAAAGACTCTGAAATATAAGGAATGAGAGATATGCAGGAAATTTTTAACAGGTTTTAGTAGAAATGGAAAAGCAGGATGCTTAAAGACTTCCTTAAAGTTAGGTATTTAAAAATTATAAAAATAAACACAAAGAAGGAAGAATAAAACCTATATCACTCATGATACCAGAATACATAAAGCTACTCTAAATACAAGCCAAGAGGCTTAAAGGGAGAAGCAAAATATTTGAATACTGAAGTGAACAGCTAAACCAGATAAAGAAGATAATCACCTTGCTTACTCATGAACAAACAGACAAACATGCTAGTTTAGGGTTGCCAGATTTTGCAAATAAAACTACAACTTGTTCAGGTAAATTTGAATTTCAGATAGATAATGATTTATGCTAAAAATTGTGTTTATCTGAAATTCAAGGGTAGCTTGGCCTCCTGTGTTTTCCCTGGCTACCTTATATGAGCAGGAAGTGAGCAAGTCTGAATGGACAGTGGTGTCCAATGCATGTGGGATTGCTGGAGTCCCTCAGAAGCAGCAGAGATTTTTTTTCTTTCATCCCCTTCTGACCTCATCATTGGGATCCTGTTTCTCTGGTTGTCCCAGGGGCACAGCTTTTGACTGGGGACAAACACCAAATTGCCAAGCTGCAGCCCGCAGGCTTTTCCAACTCCACAGCAAATACAGCACATGCCCAAATTTAGGATCTGCCCTAATTCAGGCCTTGCCCAGGACCTATGGAGAGCAAGGCATGACTGCAGTGGGTAACAGGCCATGGAACACACACAGCTTGCTCTGATAATAAAGCCTTGCCAAAGGGAAATATGAGTATCCCAAGATTTATGTTTTTTGGTCTGCCTCACCAACAAGGTCACTCTTTATGATCACTCCTCTGAGTAAGTCAAGGTCAGCAATGAAGATACCTCCTGTGTCCTGGGCAGGAATGAGTAGGCAAGGTCAAGTTGCTTTCTCCAATGGGCAAAAACCTTCCTGTGTTTTGTTTCTTGGCACAGTCTTCTCTTTTCTTGACAGAACAGCTTGTCTAGACATCATATAACCCCTCTCCCTGGAAATTCACTCAAAAATAATAAATGTGCTTCCCCTGAGCCTTTCTCAGGCATCCAGCATTTTAAGTACATTTGGTTTGGAACACAGTTCGTCCCAGAGCTATACTCCATGCCAGGAATCCCATCCAGCTTTTGCTCATTAATCCACAAGAAATGATGATCACCGTTGATGATGAGGGTGATGCATTTTGTTAAGACTTTCCATTTAGGGAGTTCTGGAGCCTTAATTTTTCCCCTTGTCCTATGTTCTAATCTATTAAAGCCCATTTATACCTGTTACTCAGAGTCTTTCACATGAATAGAGGGCAGAGTGAAATAGAGTTTCAGCCACGAGATTTGCATTCCAGCTCTGCCGCTCAATAGATGCAAAATCTTTCACACCTTATTTTAATACCTCAGGAAACAGGAGTTAATTATGCACACCTCACCAGGCTATTGAGATTAAATGACACATTTTGGGTAAAGTCCCTAGCTCAGGGCTGTACACTACATACTTAGTTTCCTTCTATGTAGTGTATAGCCCTGAGCTAGAGACTTTATTTTATCATTGTTAGTTTTCTTCTTCCTGCTGCAATCAGGGTAGGCTTAATCTGAGCAAGCCTAAACTTGTTCTAGCTGCCCCTTCCTCCTCATCTCCTTTTAAGCTAATTCAAAACAGTCTGGATGGCATTGAAGTACTGCAATGTGGCCTGAGCCAGAAGAGAGTGTGCTGTGAATCCAGAAGGATACTGGGTTAATGCCACTTTGAAACTATTCACAACTAGTTTGATCTTATTTTAGTCAGTTTGGTCCATTGGTGACCAGTCCAAACTGATTTGAGATGGTATAAAGCACTATGAGAATGTCAGAGCCAAATATTATATACTTTTATAATGGCCTATCTGGAGCCATTAGTTTGAGCCTTTCTCTTCCATGTTGAAGTCTGATATGACTGTTTTTTCCAGGATTTTCCAGGTTTATTGACCCATCTAAGTCACATTGGGCTCTACATGTGTACTTCTAAATTGCTTTCAACAATTTTTAACTGCCTTTTCTAGTGGGTCATAACTGGTTCAAGCCTTTGGAACTAGTAGAAGAACCAATCATCTGCTTTTTTCCTTAAATAAAAGATGAATTTTAGCTCTCAAGGGAGTGGGTACAAAGGATACATCTAGGGGGGGACATGCCCAGCTCTCCTTTGAAGTCCTCGGGACTTCACAGGACTTCTTAGGAATGTTCTGGCATCTTTCTGAGCTCAGGATCTTCCCTTCTAGTGGGCAGGACCATTTCTTTTCAAGAGACCTTTGCCTCACCTTTGTGTGGTAATAAGAAAAAAAGCCTCTATGTTCTCAACAGCCTGAGACTTCCAATGCCAGTGTGGAAAATAGAGCAGGAAAGAATAAAAATGGTAGAGAGGGTGTAGAACCCAGGCATCGAGGTCTTTCTCATTTATCTGGGGAGTGGTAAAGGGAGAATGTTGGGTGGTTCTAGAGCCAGATGTACCTGCAAGCATCAATATAAAAAAGTGCACACTTTTCCATTCTGCACTAAGCAAGCTCTGCCTGTTATTATTGTGAGTGAGCCAGAGTTATTTTTATGCAGGATGGCTTGGCCATGGAGGTACCTTCAATGTGGAGTTGTGTGCCTATATGGTGAATCCAGGGTGGGCTAATGCACTGAGAGGCAGGCACAGAGTTCTTTGGGCACTGTAGCCTGCCCACTGGGCACCATGCGGAGATGTGGCCAGCGTGAGGGCTGTCACACACAGCCTAAGAATTGCAGTGAGGCATTTTATGACTCCTGGGTGTCAGTTGTGCTTTATTCCCTTCACATTTATACCTTGTTAAGTTTGAGTAGGTCCTAGAATTGATGCCGTGTGTGTTTGTTTTTCTGCCTCAAACCATTTATTACAATGATAGACTCTTAAATCTAGAATATATGGCTATGTGCAGTATGACCCGAACAGGTGACACACACAGGCAGGGTGACCCAGACAGGAGTTAGCTATGCTCTGTTGGCCCCATTCCTTTGGAGATGTGATACAGCTGCCTGCTGGACTGAGGGTTGCCTGCAGGATGCTGTAACTCTCGGGAACCTCACCTGCCTGGTCGAGCTGGTGTCTGTGAGCAACTGGGAGGCCACACTGCTACTGGGACCATAGCCAGGTTCCTGTTTCTGCCCCAGTGAGAGCACCAGATACTTCCAGGTCTGAGCTCAGACTCAGCCTGGTCAGGGCAGAGCGAGGCAGCCAGCGCCCCAGTGAGGGCTCAGTGGTGGTGGTGCTGCTACATTTAATAAGAAGCAAAAATAAAGTGCTGTGTTAATTAAGTCACAGCCTGTGTGAAGTCAGCTGTTACCAGCAGTGGGGGTTTTTTGAACCCCCTGAGGTGAGATGGCTGTTTTTTTTGTGTAAGACATATGGTAACTGCAGAGAAAGCTGAGAGCCACAAGTTGCTCTTGACCAGCCCAGGCTATTCACCTGGGAGCCTCTCTTGTGCTAGTCCCAGATCTGGGCAGAGTTATGTCAGAAATAAAGGTATAATTATTATTATACTGACTCAGTGAGACATGTTAAAAATGCACTATAATAGAGTCAGACAGACTGGGGATGAAGTCCTGGCTGTCGAACTTTCTAATTGGTATAGTGTTGAATAACTGATCCTCAGTTTCTTTTGACTCAGCTGGTGGTAAGACTTAAGTGAGATACTGCATGAGAACTGCTTGGCTATTTCTAGGTGCTCCATATATGTTTGCTCTCCACCCCTTAAAAGTAGGAAGCAGTTTTTCAAAATGCCTTTATGGGTTTTCTTTGTTGAGTAAAAGGCCATACCCTATAGGAAGGAAAACTGATGGTTACTCTGGAGTCAGCTGTCCTCAGTCAAGAAGAGCAAGACTGACAATGTAGCTGAACTGGTCCGTGGGCTTTGCAGATCCAATGTTGGACCCCTACCTCTTAGCTTTCTGAGTCAGGTATTGGAGCCTGCATTTTCTGTGGAAGCTGACAGAAAGCCAAGTCCTACTCTCCACTACAAAACTGTCCCAATGATGCATAAACCATTTCCCATTCCCATCCCATACGCATTTAGTTTTCCCTGCCCCCAACCCATCCCAGTATCCTAACCCTCTCCACTTCCCCCTACACTCTACCTTCTACTTTCAATAATTTCTAAGTCCTTTTTCTTTTTTGAGCATCTTGCTACCTTTCCTGTGTACACTGATATTAAGGCCCATACTCAGGATTGCTCCCCAGTTTTAGTCTATGACAGGAAACGGACACAGAAGCTGTGCTCATCCCATACCTCTTCCTGTGGGCTTGGCACTGCCCAAGGTACATCACACACATGGGTATACACACACATTCACACTCAGCCTTACACACTTCACACTCACCTGCACACTGACACACACCCACACTCACCCACATTGATATTTTCACTCACTCACACTCTCACACACCCATACACACATTGTTTTTACACCCATAACAATCATTCAAGCTTGCAGAGGAGACCATGGAAAATTAAAGGGATTGAAGAACTCCCTCAAGTTCACACTGCAGTGGGTGCTGAAATTCCCATCCCAGTTGGCTTGGTTCCAAAGCTGAGGTGCTTTTCACCACATACTGTCTCTTTGATGGACAAAGGACAGCAGCTATCAGCTGATGTACCTACAGGGTGCTGTAAGGAAATCATTCACACAGGATATTTTTAAATGACTAGAAAAAAATATCTATTAAGAGAGCAGGCTGTCAG